ACGAAGCTATCATTTGCAGCGGAGCACCCGGAATCATCGAACTGCATTCGACCTCACCGAAATTAGAATCCACACTACTCTATGTATTGAATTATAGTTTTACGCAACTTCTCGAATAAAAAGTAACTAGATATTGTATTACATTCACGGAGTCAAATAATTCTAGACATAGGCCTTGTTCTTCTCTGTTCAAGATGTTTATCCAGTTAATAAATGTTCTTGAGAAACGAAAAAAAAAAAAAAAAAAAAAACAAACCGAAAAAGAGAAAGAGTGAGACCGCCCTTGAAAGTCCTTGACAACCTTAAGAATAAAAAGAAGAAAAAAGGAGGAGAGAATATCCAAAACGATGGACTTCGACACCTGGTGGGAGTTCAATCGGGCACCTACACCGAGAACGACGAAAGTCACTATGCGTTTCTTAGAAAATATTTGAAACAATTGAAGACACGAATTGCACTACGTCAAACCGATATTATTTATTATTCATTCGTATTCTATATCGAATTGTGCACGTGTTGAAAACGTCACACTAAGCTTCAGCTTTATTTCATAATCTAGCAAGGTAACATGAGTCAATATATAATTCTACGTCACATTTCTTGCATTCTCCCTTCTTCCTACACAACTTTTGTTTCCAGCATTTGCGTTTCCTTCTCATTAATTTATTACCAAGCCTCTTCATTTTATTTAAGACTTTCGTTGAATAAAATTTCACAAATTACGTTTGAATGATATATGGCTAACTGAAGATGTGATTCTTGAATTACGTACGATCCAATTGAGGTTAGATTTAGGTTAGGTTTGCTGCAATTATTGTCAACCATTTACATGAAATAATAATACACGAAAATTAACTCTAAAATAATCACGTTTAATATATGGCTAATGGAAAATGTGATTGTTGAATTACGTACGATCCAATTGAGGTTAGATTTAGGTTAGGTTTGCTGCAATTATTGTCAACCATTTACATGAAATAATAATACACGAATTAACTCTAAAATAATCACGTTTAATAAATTATATTACTATAACCTAACCTAAATCTAACCTCACTTGGATCGTACGTAATTTAACAATCACATTATATGTATATATATATACATATACACGACTAATGGAAGATGTGATTGTTGAATTAGAATTCGAGCGAGGTTTGCTACAATTATTTGTCGAGCCCCTAATTTGACTCGAGTTTGAAGTGACTATAGTCATTGAATGACTATAAGCCAAGAAATGAAGGGCCAATTGTTCGTTTCTAGCGAACGAAACGAAACACCCTCGTCGTCGTTTCCAGATCGTTCCAGATCGGTGGAAACCTGACCGAAATTATCGGCGATAAATAAAAACCGAGTCTGCAGCAGCCGGTCGTAAATCTCTCGCACACGCCCCCTTTTTAATGCCCGATTGTCCACTTCGCTGCACGACGGTCGTTCGTTCTCCACTCTAATTCAACGTTTCTTCTCAAGTCGTCTCGAATGTTCTCTCGAGTTTGTCGAGTGTCGAAAAGTTTGTTAGGTTTTTTCGAAAATTTGTCAAACCCCTGACAAATCTGCAAGTGTCGCACCGTCATTTGTCTGAAATCTGTGTTATAAAAAAAAAAAAAAAAAAAAAAAAAA